TAGCTTACGCATCTAGACGGGACATACTTGTGCATTAGGGAGGATAGATAGGTGGTAGCAGCATTATATAGAGATTTGAAAGCGAGAACCAGAATTTTAAATTGAGCCCTATATCTTACAGGAAGCCAATGTAGGGACTGACAGAAGGGTGAGGCGTGGGAGGTGCGGGCGGACAGGAAGATAAGCATCACAGCCGCATTCATTATGGACTGTAACGGCGCAAGTTGGGAGCACATAAGACCCCTGAGAAGTGGATTACAGTACTCAAGGCGAGAAAGGATGGTAGAATGGGCCAGCACCTTAGTCGCATCTGGCGTTAAGTAGAGTCGGATGCGCGCAATGTTTTTTTGAGATGGAAGCGACAGGATTTGGTGATAGACTGAACATGAGGTGTGAAGGAGAGGTTGGAGTCAAAGAGAACACCAAGGCAGCGAACCTGCATGGTGTTGCTACTCCTGTGTCTGGAGGGAGACAGACACAGGAGTAGCAGCACTTGAGGCAGGAAAGACCAGAATTTCATTTTTGGTCATGTTAAGTTTAAGGAAGTGAGTAGCCATCCAGTTAGAAATAGCAGAGTGGCAGTCAGGGATACTAGTCAAGAGCAATGGGGAGAGATCAGGAGAGGACAGGTAGATTTGCATGTCATCCGCATATAAATGATATTGGAAGCCAAAGGAGCTAAGGAGTTTACGAAGGGAGGCAGTATAGATAGAGAACAGTAAGGGACCACGAGATTTTGCAGCGAGTACATCATTGGATACTTTGGTCAGTGCCATTTCCACAGAGTGCATAGTGCGGAAACCAGACTGAAGCAGGTCTAGCAGAGAGTTGGACTCAAGGAAGTCTGTCAATCTCGCATTCACAACTCTTTCAAGGATCTTGGATGCAAAAGGCAGTAGTGAGATAGGATGGTAGTTGGATGGGTAGTTAGGGTCAAGGTTGGGCTTTTTTAGAATTGGGGTTATAGTTGCATGTTTGAAGGGCGATGGAAATATGCCAGAGGAGAGAGATAGATTGAGAATTTTAGTGAGAGGTAGAGAAAGAGAAGAAGACAGAGTAGGGATGAGATGCGAGGGAATTGGATCTAGAGAGCAGGTGGTGAGGCGGAAGGACTAAAGCAGAGCAGAAACCTCTTCCACTGTAGCAGATGCGAATGAACATAGAACACCAGAGGGAGTGAGGTTAGGGGAAGTATTGTAAGAGGAAGAAGAAAGATGAGAGATCTCTTCCCCGATTGTAGAGATCTTGTCAGTGAAGTGAGTTGCAAAGTCTGAGGCGGTCAAGTTAATAGGTGGAGGAGGAACAATAGGGCAAAGAAGAGAGTTAAATGTGTGAAATAGTCGTTATTTTTGTATTTTGAATATTATTTTAGTAATCTAAAAATATAAATCTATTTAGTATAAAACTTAAAATTATTGAACCAATCAAGATCTACAATAAATAAAAAGCAAAACACCATCTAACAAGATTTCTGCAAAAAAATTGAAGTTGGGAGAGAGGAGAAGGAGAAACAAAAAAAGAGAGCTAGGAGAGAGAAAAACTCAATGTTAACTCTTTGGGATGCAAGGTTATTTAAAATGTACACCCATTTAACCTTCTTCTGTCTAATGTTTTTTTTTTAAATCTCCCCGCTGTCCAGCTTGCCAACTGTCTTAATTGGGACTATTGCACTTGGATAAATGGACTCCTGTAAGACTTTGCTATATTATGTTTAAGGCGTTTTGGACTACAATAAATATTTACCTTGAAGATTATACCATGTGTCAGTCCAGTATTGTTACTAAGGAACCAGCCCATACTAGGAGCTGATCCCTCCCACGCATTAAGATTGAGAGTGGTACCTATTCCACTATTTAATTGTGAGTTTATACTATAAGTGTTTTCTGTTTTGTCTACTGTTTAGAATATAGACAATCTACACTAGATTTGCTTCTCATTTTACTTTAAGGTGCGTTTAAAGACAATTCAAGCAACTTGGTTTAACCCCTTCCCGACCGAGGACGGTTCAGGACCGTCATTGGCATTTTTGCGTTGCCGACCGATGACGGTCCTGAACAGTCCTAACGGTCCTATTTACTTACCTGATCGCCGTCGTTCCCCCGGCGGCGATCAGTGTGGCTCCCGGTGTGGGGAGACTGCCTGCAGCCCAGACAGTCTCCCCACACTGTATTAGGACCCCTGTGGCATGTGATCGCTCAACACAGCGATCACATGGTCACAATAGGTGTCCATGTGTCTGCCTGCAGGGGGACTGCCTGTGCTGACAGGCAGTCTCCCTGCTAGTGTAAAATCAGAAAAAATAAATAAAGTTAGTGTTAATAAAAAAAATAAATAATAATTATATATGTGTATATATGATATATAGACATATTATATCTATATAATATATGTCTATATATCATATATATAATGTCATACTAAGTGTATTTTTATATTAATATGTACTTATATTAATATAAAAATACACTTATAATTAAATTACACACGTATATATATAATATATATAATAACTATATATATTGTATATATATTATTATAAAATATAAATAATAAGTAATTTAAATTAAATAATTTTTTTAAAAATAATAATAAAAATTTAAAAAAAATTATATATCTATATGAAATTTTATTCTAACTGTATTTTAAAATTAATATATATATATATTTATATCAAAATACACTTAGAATGAATTTGTATATATATCTATGTAAATATAAATAAATAAAAATAATACGAAATATACATATGTCCATATACAAAATTACATAAATAATTATATAAATATACACGTAGACTTAAACTATATAAATATGCATATATATTTAAATTCTACGTGCGTATTTATGTAATATTTTTACATAATTCAGTAATTTTATTGATTGCAATTTGAGGGACCTGCCTGCCAACCCAGGCCGAAATTCCAGAGAATTTAATTTGCTAGCACTGTATTTTACCCTGTAACGTTCTACGACACCCTAAAACCTGTACATGGGGGGTACTGTTTTACTCGGGAGACTTCGCTGAACACAAATATTAGTGATTCAAAACAGTAAAACATATCACAGCGATGATATTGTCAGTGAAAGTTACTTTTTTTGCATTTTTCACACACAAACAGCACTTTTACTGATGATATAATTGTTGTGATACGTTTTCCAGTTTTTAAACACTAATATTTGTGTTCAGCGATGTCTCCCGAGTAAAACAGTACCCCCCATGTACAGGTTTTATAGCATTTTTGAAAGTTACAAGGTCAAATATATGGATCAAATATTTTTACATTGAAAATGGCCAGGTTGGTTACGTTGCCTTTGAGAGCGTATGGTAGCCCAGGAATGAGAATTACCCCCATGATGGCATACCATTTGCAAAAGAAGACAACCCAAGGTATTGCAAATGGGGTATGTCCAGTCTTTTTTAGTAACCACTTGGTCACAAACACTGGCCAAAATTAGCGTTCAATTTAGTTTTTTTACTTTTTTCACACACAAACAAATATGAATGCTTACTTTGGCCAGTGTTTTCGACTAAGTGGCTACTAAAAAAGACTGGACATACCCCATATTGAATACCCTGGGTTGTCTACTTTAAAAAAAATATGTACATGTGGGGTGTTATTCAGAGATTTATGACAGATAATAGTGTTACAATGTCACTATTGATAAATTTTAAAAATGTATGTTTTGAAACCGCAATATCCTACTTGTACCTATAGCCCTATAACATGCAAAAAAAAGCAAAAAAGCACGTAAACACTAGGTATTTTTAAACTCAGGACAAAATTTTGAATCTATTTAGCAGTTTTTTTCATTCGCTTTTGTAGATGAGTAAAAGATTTTTCAAGTAAAAGTCAAAAAACATGTATTTTTTTCAATTTTTCATCATATTTTTTATTTTTTTTAAATTAAAATACATGAGATTATATAAATAATGGTATGTAAAGAAAGCCCCTTTTGTCCTGAGAAAAACAATATATAATTTGTATGGGAACAGTAAATGAGAAAGCGGAAAATTACAGCCAAACACAAACACCACAAAAGTGTAAAAATATGCCTGATCGCAAATGTACAACATCGCAAAAAAGGTCCAGTCCTTAAGGGGTTAAATAAGTATTTTAGATTTGTGTTTCCGCTCTAACTTGTGGGTTTGCTACTAGATGCTGATACCATTTCTACAGCTGACGGGAAGGTTTGTAAGGGTAAGGAGAGTATTAAAAAAAAAAACTAAACATATATTTATTTTATTTAGTTTCTTATCCAAACACAATAAAAAGAATGTGGACTTTACTACTTAGAAATTCTACTACTTAGAATTTCTATAATGCACCATACATGTTTTACTGGTCTGTCTTTAGAAACAAACATTTATACATGGCCAATTCTCTTACATTATGTCACCAAGCATTTGACATAGGATGAAGAAACAATGATACATAAAATCTATATCACTGATATAAAAAATGCTAGTAAAATTGACACGATATATTAATTAGTTTTTTTTTTATTATACTAAAGCATAAAAGGTCTTGTTTAATGCAAAATCACATACATATTTAATAACTCCCAAGTACAGTGATTTATTAACAGTTATTTATCTATGTATGCCTTGGAGCTAACCTCTGGTTTCCTATATAAAAATGTGTTAATTATTCAGGGAAATCTATGTGTCAAAAACAGCATATGGTGGTATATATATATATATATATATATATATATATATATACACACCACACACACACAAGATGTAAAAAACAGATACAAATTGTATCTAGTAATACCTTTTTTATTAGTCCAAGATAATTTTTTTAATGATAAGCTTTCGGGAGAACCTCCCTTTCTCAAGTCTAAAGCATTTCTGAGCAAGACGACACATAGAATTCAAAATTGAGTTGTGATACAGTGGTTAAAGGGACATGAGTGCAGATAAGACACAGGTTTGATACAAAACAGACACCATTCTTGGAGAGGGTCGTAAATATCCTGTGTGAAGATTACAGAGTGAGGGGAGAGAGAGAGAAAAAAACAAGCAAACAGTGCAGAAGATGGTGCTAGAAGGAGAGATTAAAAAAAGAATTACTTATAATAAGAATGCATAAATTCCCATCCAAGAGTTACAGGATATGCATGAAGGTATATGTGCATGTGTGTAAGTGTGAGCGTGTGTCTGTGTATGCTGGATATAGGCCTTCATGCATATCCTGTAACTCTTGGATGGGAATTCATGCATTCTAATTATAAGTAATTCTTATTTTCTTTTTTTACTCTCTCCTTCTAGCACCATCTTCTGCACTGTTTGCTTGTTTTTTTCTATCTCTCCTCCCTCACTCTGTGATCTTCACACAAAATTTTATTAAAATGACAATTAGCTCCAAGACAAGTATAACATTCTTAAACTTTATGCTATTTGCCCAAGGCATGTATAAGTTGTGTTTTACACTTCAGTAATCTTACTTTTTCCTTGGGTATTTTGTAATGCTAACATATTGTTTTATTTATATCTAGCATAATCATTGCTAGTTTAAAAAAAAAATTAAAATCAAAATAACCTCATAGATTAGAACCATGTGAGATCTTTTATTATAAACAACAACATGTAGAGCTTTTTTATGCAATTTTACAAAACGTAAGAGAAGGGGCTGGCCATTGATCATAGAAAATGTAGAATATTGTGTAACTTTATTCTCCATCACAATATGGAACAAGTAGATATGGACATTTTAGTGATAAGGATAAAGACTTAAACAATATTGATGATTTCATAAATCACTACAAATGAATACACTGTAATATATGGTACTAAACACAAATGCAGCAATATACACAGACATGCCTGTTTAACACAATCAATACAAACATTATTGTGCTGTAATGATAAAATGATATGTTCTGTCATATCTAGGGAAGTCTATAAAAATAAATGTGGAAATATTTATAGCATGACATTCAGCCAATGTAAACACCATGTAGAGAAAGATAATAGTATTTTATTAGGTGTCAGTTACAAGCTGAAACATAGTATATGGTTTTACTTATTCAGTAAAAATAGCAAATATTTATTGATTGTGTAGGTTTATGAAATACATTGTTCACCCAGAGTAATCAAGGACCAGGGACAATCCTCTGTCTAATGGGAGAGCACTTTACATCCTTTCATGTGACACGAACATGTCAAAAGAATGTGCACATTCTTAGTTGTTTGATATTATTTTTTTTCTGCAATTATAAAATAAATCAGAAGATTGGTACAATGTTTATTAAAGGGCACTGTAGGCAATATAACCACTTTATCTTATTGAAGTGATCTTAGTGCCTGGAGTCCTCTGACACCATCACTCCATATAGAGCTGGACACGGTGCAGAGGGGCCAGACTGCAGGAGACTGTGAACCCTAATTCATTTATAAACTTTTCAAAAACTGGGTTAGCACTAAATAGACACACAGTGCCAGGAGTACTATAAGCACCTAAATAAGCTAAAGTTGACAGGTGTATTATAAACACTTCACTAAGGCAAAGTGGATATGAATGCCTTGAGTGTACATTTAACCTGGCTCCTCATGATACATTTATTTCTCTGATATTAAGACTTTACGCAACAATTACTGATATGACATTTTATATAACTAAAGGAACACTGAAGCTTTAGGAATACAAAACTGTATACCTAATGCTTTAGTGTTTCTGTCCCTAGTTATATAGGTCACCCGCTGTGTGTGCAATAAAAATGCTAAAGTGCAAAGGTTTTACTTACCTTATCGAGAAGAAACAGATCAGGAACTAGAATGCAACAGAAAAAAATGGCAGATTGGACAACTACCATTAATTCAATCATTAATATCTCAAAATATACCCTTGCCCAGAAGGAGGAACAGGTCCTCAAAGATGGATAACATTTGCTCCCACTGAATAGCCCAATTATTTCACTATCTTTACAGATATACAGAAACGTATTCTCAAACTAACACTACATAGACATTTTAATAACCAAGGTTACATAACGAGATTAGTAAAAACAAATGAATGGCAGAACTATAGTTTTGACACAAAAAAATAACTTTCTGACAAATCTACAAAATAATAAGAAGATACAAATTAGAAAACAGACAAAGGAGGAGCTATTTTCATACGAGACAAGAGGACTACATACTGGAGGTATGTCAACTTCTAGGGGGCACAGTTACATATAAGAAACTACCCATGGATTCCACTCAACAATATTTAAATGAACTAGTTCTACTAATGGAGGCCAAAACAAAGGGTATTTTAAATCATGATGAATTTCATTTTTTATACCAAGAACATCCAGTTACGGACATTTTTATCGTCTGCCAAAAGTGCATACAAAGATGTTGAATCCACCTGGATGGCCAATTATATCAGGAATTAATTCTCTAATGAACAATATATTGGCCTATGTAGATTATTATCAACAGCATATGGTCACAAACTTGGATTCCTACCTTAAAAACACTTCACATTTACTACAACTTATTCTTGGCACTGCATGGACCCAGGACTGTCTTCTACTGAGCCATGATGTAACATCACTATACACCAGTATTCCTCATCAAACAGGGAGAGATGCAGTGAAATACTTTCTAGAGCTGGTTAATTAAGTTAGTCAAAACCAACAAGTTATTATCATTGATTGTATCAGCTTTGATCTAAAACACAACTATTTCCTGTTTAAGAATTGATTCTACCTACAACTCACTAGTACTGTGAGCTAGCACCATCCTACACAAACCTTCCAATGGGATGGTAGGAAAGCAGATATATTTTGAACAACATCCCATTCCACAATAAATTAAAATTTTAGAGATGTTTTATCAATGACATTTTATTAGTTTGGCAAGTAGATGAAGAGAATCTATTAATATTTTTTTTTCATACCAACTCCAACATTATGAACCACACATTCACAAATGAGGACAATAAGTATAGTATTGTATTCCTATATTTTAACATCTTTCAAAATGAGGAAGGACCAGTAATCATCATAAACCGGCTGACCAAAATGTTTGTTTTGATGCAAGAAACGCCCATAACCCTGAGTAGATTACAAATACCTCTAAGAGCCAGTACATTAGAATAAAAAGGAACTTTAGCAGGACTCAGGAACTTGAAGAAGAATTCCAAAACCTAACATCACGGTTAGTACAAAACCACTATAACTAAAGACATCTTCAAACAACTCGGAATTAAGTATCATCATCATCTAACAATGACCAAAATGAATTGATCCGCAATACAGACTCAGTTGGCAGAGATAATGACAACCATCACAATAACACAAATAAGAAACCATTGCCAATTTTTGTCATCACATATAATACAGCAACAGATGAAATAAAAAGCATAATTCTGAAACATTGGCCAACTGACTCTCGGGACAACCGTATGCAAATTAACAGTTTAGACAAACCCAGTATTAAAAACATTATAGCTTCCATATAATGTCACAACAGTAGCAGTACTTTTTGAAGTACAATACAGTATGATTAGCATACACAGTTAAGGTATAGTAGAGGTATAGTCAGCAATTATTCGGTAATTGGTCATCACAGCACTAACTGAATAAGCACACATTTAGATATTTCAACCTTTTCACTATTTCACATGGACAATACTTACATTCTTAAATGTAGGAGCATTGTGACTAAAGAATTCAAAAGTAAGATAAATAAATAAGAGTATAATGCGTGACAAGGGGAGGATGGTGTGGGGGGTAGAAGTGTTTTTTTTAATTTATTTATTACTAGAAGCATAAACCAAACACAAACAGAAATGTAAACAAAAAAATATATATAAATGTAAAAAGAAACATGGTGCATTAAGCATCTTTTCTCCCTGTTATTAGTATCTTTGCCAATGCATGTGGCTTCTAGAAAATATACAGTGTGTGTGTATATATATATATATATATATATATATATATATATATATATGTATATGACCCCCTAACACCCCCTTTTAAGTTGGGCTGTAAGCAGGCATATTTATCTGGCCTAGGTTTTCCTGGCATTGAGTAGCATGAGACTGCAAAATTGTCTGGTCCAGAGCCTTGAGGGTGTAGGATAACAGCTGCTCCATCACTTCCATACTTGGGATACTTTGGTTCATTGTTGCTTGGATACTACTGACATGCACTCATAGGCGTGGTTAAGAGAGATTTTGTCTAGCAAAATATTATCTGTCGGACACATCATTGATTTCCTGTTCAAGACAATAGGTGCTATGGTTGCTAGAGCTATATAAGTTGTTATGGTTTTGTCAGAAAAGCCTAACTGGCGTGGAAACTCCAGCCACAGATACACATCAGGTTTAAATGGAATCTGCACTCCTAAGGATTTGACTAGTTTGTCTACTAAGTCCCATAACGGCTGAATTTTTACACATTTCCACCAGATGTGAAACACGATTTCTTTATCAGCATTCCACCACCAGCACATAGCAGGGGTGTTTCAATATATGTGGTTAAGTCTCTCCAGGGTAAAACACTGGTATGCTAAATTACAATAAGCCTCTAAGCAGCTGAAGCAATTAGTCATGCCCTTCAAAACATTTAGTCTTTTAATCCATCTCTCTCGCATGACTACTGTTCCCGTGTCTTTTTCCCATTGAGCGACAAAAGCTGGGGGAGCTGTGTTAGCAATATCAATCTGCTCTTTATAGCATCTGGAAAGTTGTTTGCATTATCTCAACATCTCATTAGCTATCGATAGTTCTGGAAGTTGTTTAGTGAGGTATAAATATGGGTTGAGTCTTTTAGCCTTAACTTGGCTTGCGTGTTTGATCAGTATTCCCCTAATAAAGACCTTTTGTCCTAGCCAAATAGATTCTACCCTGGTATCTAGGATATTATCAAGTAAGAAGTATTAATATTATTTATTATTATTGCCATTTATATAGCGCCAGCAGATTCCGTAGTGCTTTACACTATGAGAGGGGTGATTTGAACTATAAATAGAACAATTACAAGAAAACTTACAGGAATGATAGGTTGAAGAGGACCCTGCTCAAATGAGCTTACAGTCTATAGGAGGTGGGATATAAAACACATTAGGACAGGAAATAGCAATAAAATAAGGTGGGAGTGAAGCAGAGCTGGAGGAGAGAGTAAAGTGCTGCCCTTTAGGAGAGAGCAAGAGACAGGTATGTGAGGTAGAGGTTACTCTGGGAGCCCATAAGCTTTCCTAAAGAGATGGGTTTTAAGGCACTTCTGAAATGATTGAAGACTAGAGCAGAGTTGGATGGTAGGCAGGCTACCGAGAAGGGGCATACCTATGGATCTGTGAAGAGATATAAGAGGGCCTGGAATTGTT